AAAAATTCTATAAGAAATAAACCAATACAAATAGTTAAGGTGTCTCAAAACAGCTTGCTCTGATTTCTTTTCATAACTGACTTGTTTATTGTTCACAATAACGTGTGAAGTGGGTGTTATCGTTTTTTTAAATATATTTGTTCCAGAGAGAGGAAGGGAGATGGAGAGAGATAGAAATATCACTAATGAGAGAGTCATCATTTGCCTGCCTCTTGTACACCCCCTACTGGGATGGAGCCTGTAATCTGAGCATGTGCCTGTGTCAGCGGGAATTGAACCAGCAATCTCTTGGTGCATGGGTGGACACTCAACCACTGAGCCACATTGGCTGGATGAGGTGGGTGTTATTATTATTATTATTTTTAAAGAAGGTGTTTTGTTTTTTAATCTTGTTTATTGATTTCAGAAAGGAAGGGAGAGGGAGAGATAGAAACATCAATGATGAGAGAGAATCATCAATTGGCTGCCTCCTGAAAGCCCCACTCTGGGGATAGAGCCTGCAACCTAGGTCCACATGTGCCCTGACCAGGAATTGAACACTGACCTTCTGGTTCACAGGTTGATGCTCAATCACTGAACAATGCTGGCCCGGGTATCCAAAGTTATAGAGAAGGAAATGGCACCAGAGGCTAAGGGTTGTCCACTGGATCACAGCTGGACAGTGGCTACATGGAGATTGCATACCAAAGCTGGTGCTTTTTTTATTTTTTATTTTTAAAAAAATATATTTTATTGATTTTTCACAGAGAGGAAGGGAGAGGGATAGAGAGTTAGAAACATCGATGAGAGAGAAACATGGATCAGCTGCCTCTTGCACACCCCCTACTGGGGATGTGCCCGCAACCCTGGTACATGCCCTTGACCGGAATCGAACCTGGGACCTTTCAGTCCGCAGACCGATGGTCTACCACTGAGCCAAACCGGTTTTCGGCTGGTGCTTTTTTTTTTTAATTTAAATTTAAATTTATTGATTTGAGGAAGAGAGAGAGAGAGAGAGGGAGGGAGGGAGGGAGGGAGAGAGAGAGAGAGAGAGAGAGAGAGAGAGAGAGAGAAAGAGAGAGAGAGAGAGAGAAATTTGTTGTTCCACTTATTTATTCATTAATTAGTTGATTCTTGTATGTCCCCTGACTGGGTATTGAACCTGAAACCTTGGTTTTTTGGGACGATATTCCAACCAGTTGAGTTACTGGGCACAGGGCCAGGTCAGTAACCTGAATCACTGAATGAGCTCCTACTGCTCTTGAAGGGACCTTAGATACCAGGCTGCTCTGGGAGCAATGGAGAGCTATGGCAGATTTTTAATCTGACCTGCTTTTTATTTATTTTATTTTTAAATATATTTTATTGATTTTTTTATAGAGAGGAAGGGAGAGGGTCAGAGAGCTAGAAACATCGATGAGAGAGAAACATTGACCAGCTGCCTCCTGCATACCCCTTACCGGGGATGTGCCCGCAACCAATGTACATGCCCTTGGCCAGAATCAAACCTGGGACCCTTCAATCCACAGACCGACACTCTATCCACTGAGCCAAACCAGTTTTGGTCCAACCTGCATTTTAGAACATGCCCAAACCTCCTACTCCAGGGTCTGGATTCCTGAATCTCTCCTCCATATTCAAAAAGGAAATCTCTCTCTCAGCCAATTTAGACCATACCTTTTTCCCTTCCCTGCCCAGAGTTCCCCTGCTTCTTCTCATCAGTCCACGGGTAAGTCATCAGAGAGCAAGGGCTTGCAGGGGTCCTCAAACTTTTTAAAGTGGGGGCCAGATCACGGTCCCTCAGAGAGCTGGAGGGCCGGACTATATGAACTACTAATTCCTACTGTAACACCTCGGCTGCGCTCACTGCCCAAAAAACCTGGCGGGCCGGATCAGACTCCTCTGCAGGCCGCATGTGGCCCGCGGGCCGTAGTTTGAAGACGCCTGGAGAGCAAGGAGGCCCAGGGTTAAACCCCAGCTCTCCTACCTCACTTCTCTGTGCCTCAGTTTCCTAATCTATTCGGTGGGCTGAGAGGAGACTCAGAGGAGGTAGTGGAAGGCATTCTGTCACACTCCTCAAGAAGTAGTTACAGAGGTGTTGTCAGTCTCATTGGGCACTACGGACCCCATAGAGGCTCTTTCCCTCTTCTGAGGAAGCTCCGTTTGACCCTCTTGCTAGGCTCCCTTTCTGCCTGGCAGGCAAGCCGCCTAAGGCCTTCCTCAGGCACATTAATTGTGCGGAAAAGCATATGCTCTGCAAATCTAGCAACTATGCATGGATATATTTATTGAGCATCTACTGAGTGCCAGGCCCATGCAGCCAGCGATAGCCTCCTGGCTGCTCAGGGATGTCACCACCATGCATGTCACACCTCCAAGCCTTTGCCTGTGCTGTGTCTTCAGCCTTGGATGCCCTTTCTCCCTTCTCCAGTCCTCTTCGGAGCCTTCCTAAATTCCGGACTTCAGTGATTCACATTTTCTTCTGTTTCTGCAGCTTCTGTTGCTGGTACCAATGCAAATAACTATACAGATAAATTGCAGTTATTTTTCCCAAGCCTACACTGCCAACTGGCTGGGTCTGATTCTTGTGGGGGGCAGAGCGCGTGTTAACCACTAGCTTCAATCAGATATGGGTGGAGATCAAGCCTCAGTCCCCACAGTGTAATCTTCAATAATTCCACAGGGTGGCAGCAAACCCCTCTAGACACTGACCTCCTAGGCCAGTGTTTTTCAACCTTTTTTGGGCAAAGGCACACTTGTTTCATGAAAAAAATCACGAGGCACACCACCATTAGAAAATGTTAAAAAATTTAACTCTGTGCCTATATTGACTATATATAAAGTAATTCTCTTGAATAGGAATCAAATAAACACAAAGAAAGTATTTTATAATTGCTTTATTATGAAATATTAAATAAACAAAATAGTGAAAAATTATAAAATTTTTGTCTTGTCTGCACCTACGGCACACCAGGCAACATCTCGCGGCACACTAGTGTGCCGCGGAACAACGGTTGAAAAACGCTGTCCTAGGTGTGCAGAGCTTCCAGGCTCCCAAGCTCTAGAGAGGCCCTTCAAGCTTATTTTCTACTTTATCTCTCCCCCACCCTCCACGTGGGTGACTTTGCCCTGCTCACCCCAGTTTCTCTACCTGTAACAATGGATTGTCTAAACAGTTAAACTGCATACTTCACTTTTTATGCATTTATAGCTTTTATCCAGATGTAATTTATATACCACACAATTCATGCATTTAATTGTGCAACTCAATGGTTTTTCATCTATTCACACAGTTAGGCAAACATCTTTATATTTTACTTTTTTATTTTTTTGTCTTGTTAATTTTCACCCAAGGATTTTTTTTTTCCATTAAAAAAAAATGTTTTTATTGATTTTACAGAGAGAGAGAGGGAGGGAAGAGATAGAAACATCAGTGAGAGAGGGACATTGATTGGCTGCCTCCTGCACTCCCTGCACTGGGACCGAGCCTGCAATTGGACATGTGCCCTGACCAGGAATTGAACTGGCCACCTGTTGGTTCATGAGTCGATGCTCAGCCACTGAGCCACACCGGTGGAGCCCTGCCTACAGTTTACTGTTGCTGCAGGATAACTTGCACTTTCAGGATATGTTTCCCCTCAACAGAGGAAAGACTTTAAGAACCGTAAAGAGAATTTAACTTCACCAGGAAATACCATGACTATATGCATAGAATCATTATTAATAGAATCATCCTTACATATTTTCCTGTTACTGCATTTATGTAAATTTTAAATGTCTACATATGTGCTTTATTTTTTAAATCTTAAGTCTTCTAAATGTCTCACATTTTCATGAGTTGAATTTCATAAAAGTATTCTGTATTATGTCTCTTTATTTCCTTATTTTGTCACAAGAAAGGGCTGTATTTTCTTTTTTAAAAAATATGTTTTATTGATTTTTTTACAGAAAGGAAGGGAGAGGGATAGAGAGTTAGAAGCATCGATGAGAGAGAGACATCGATCAGCTGCCTCCTGCACACATCCCACTGGGGATGTGCCCGCAACCAATGTACATGCCCCCAACTGGAATCGAACCTGGGACCCTTCAGTCTGAAGGCCAAAGCTCTATCCATTGAGCCAAACCGGTTTCGGCAAGGGCTGCATTTTCACTTAGCTCATCACCCAAGGATTTTTCCCCACATTGTTTTGTTTGTTTTAGGAAAGGAGGGGAAGAGACAAAAACATTGATGTGAGAGAGATACATCAATTGGTTGCCTCCTGCTGCAACCTGTATGTGCCCTTGACCAGAACTGAACCTGGGACCCTTCAGTTCATGGGCCAATGCTCTATCCACTGAGCCAAACCGGCTAGAATCCATCACCACAATTTTAGAACATTTTAATCACTCCCAACAGAAACTCTGTACCCATTAGCAGTCACTCCTCCTTCCCCCCAATCCTCAGCCCCCCAGCTATAGGCAACCACTAATCTCCTCTGATGTTCTAGACATTTCATATAAATGGAATCACACAACATTCAGTCCTTTGGGACTGGCTTCTTTCACTTAGCGTAATGTTTTCAAGGTTCACCATTTTACTATTAAAAAATGTCTTGTTTGAGCCGAAACTGGTTTGGCTCAGTGGATAGAGCATCTGGCTGTGGTCTGAAAGGTCCCAGGTTCGATTCCGGTCAAGGGCATGTACATTGATTGCGGGCACATTCCCGGTAGGGGGTGTGCAGGAGGCAACTGGTCGATGTTTCTAGCTCTCTATCCCTCTCCCTTCCTCTCTGTGAAAAATCAATAAAATATATATTTTTAAAAAATGTCTTGTTTTATGGCTATACCACATTTCATTTTTTCATCAGCTGATGGACATTTAAGTTGTTTACGCATTTTATCCAGTAGGGATAATGCAGTGAAGAATATTGGTGTATGAGTTTTTGTGTAAACGTGTTTTTTAGTGAGTTCCAGGTTATGCTGAGTGGGCTAACTTGGGTATCTGGGCCCACTAGGGGGGTGAACTCGCAGTCCCCAGGGCTGGCGGGCAATGGCTTTTTCTCACGGTGGTCTGAGGGAGCCACTGTGGGCAGTGCCGAGAATGCCAGTGGCTCTGCTGACCTGGGAGGAGCACAGAGCCCTTATAGTTGCCTCTCTAGGCATCCGGCTGGAAGTCCCAGGGAGTCACGGACACTCAGGAAGAGAAGAGGAAGGGGAAGGCCAAGATCCGGTACCTGAAGAAAAAGCAGCTCATGCAGCTACGGAAACAGGCCTACAGAAAACTGAGAGGCACAGAGATCCTCACGACTCAGGGACTCCTGGTCTGAACCCAATAAAAATGGACTGTTAATTACTAAGAAACTAAGAAACAAGTTTTAATTTTTCTTGACTATACACCCAGGAATGGGACTGCTGGGTCAGGTAGTGACTATATGTTCAGCCCTTTGAAGAGAAGATAGTTTATCACAGCAGCTGCACCATTTTTCATTCCCACCAGCAGTATGTGAGGATCTGATTTCTCCACAGCCTTGTCAGACTGTTTTATTCTAGCCATCCTAGAGGGAGTGAGCTGATACCTCACGGCGGTTTTACTTTTCCTTTCTTCATGTGCTTATTGGCCATTTGTGTATATTCTTTTAAAAAAAATACATATTTTATTGATTTTTTTTTTTTCAGAGAGGGAGAGGGATAGAGAGTTAGAAACATCGATGAGAGAGAAACATTGATCAGCTGCCTCCTGCACACCCTCCAGCTGGTTATGTGCCCAAAACCAAAATACATGTCCTTGACCAGAATCGAACCTGGGACCCCTCAGTCCACAGGCCAATGCTCCAGCCAAACCGGTCAGGGCTTATGTATATTCTTTAGAGAAATGTCTATTCAGATCCATTGCCCATTTTTAAATTGGGTTACTTGTATTTTTATTATTGAGTTGTTATCATCAAATTATAAGGGTTCTTTATGTTTTCTAGATAAAAGTTCCTTACCAGAGACATGCTTGGCAATTATTTCTCCCATTCTATGGTTGTCATTGCATTTTCTTTTTCTTTTTAAAGTATTTTTTGTATTGATATCAGAGAAGGGAGAGGAAGAGAGAGATAGAAACATCATTGATAAAAGAGAATCATTGATTGGCTGCCTCCTGCATGCCCCCCATTGGGGATTAAACCCACAACTCAGGCATATGCTCTTGACCAGAATCAAACCGGGGACCCTTCAGTCCGCAGGCCAACACTCTATCCTCTGAGCCAAACTGGCTAGGGCTCATTGCATTTTAAAAATATATATATTTTATTGATTTTTTCACTGAGAGGAAGGGAAAGGGATAGCCAGAAACATCAATGAGAATCATCGACAAGTTGCCGCCTGCACACCCTCCCCCCCCAGGAGGATATGCCCACAACCAATGTACATGCCCTTGACCAGAATCGAACCTGGGACCCCTCAGTCCACAGGCCAATGCTCCAGCCAAACCGGTCAGGGCTTATGTATATTCTTTAGAGAAATGTCTATTCAGATCCATTGCCCATTTTTAAATTGGGTTACTTGTATTTTTATTATTGAGTTGTTATCATCAAATTATAAGGGTTCTTTATGTTTTCTAGATAAAAGTTCCTTACCAGAGACATGCTTGGCAATTATTTCTCCCATTCTATGGTTGTCATTGCATTTTCTTTTTCTTTTTAAAGTATTTTTTGTATTGATATCAGAGAAGGGAGAGGAAGAGAGAGATAGAAACATCATTGATAAAAGAGAATCATTGATTGGCTGCCTCCTGCATGCCCCCCATTGGGGATTAAACCCACAACTCAGGCATATGCTCTTGACCAGAATCAAACCGGGGACCCTTCAGTCCGCAGGCCAACACTCTATCCTCTGAGCCAAACTGGCTAGGGCTCATTGCATTTTAAAAATATATATATTTTATTGATTTTTTCACTGAGAGGAAGGGAAAGGGATAGCCAGAAACATCAATGAGAATCATCGACAAGTTGCCGCCTGCACACCCTCCCCCCCCAGGAGGATATGCCCACAACCAATGTACATGCCCTTGACCAGAATTGAACCTGGGACCTTTCAGTCCTCAGACCAACGCTCTATCCACTGAGCCAAACCGGTTTTGGCTTGTTGCATTTTCTTGATCATTTAAGCACAAAATTTAAAATTTTGGTGCTATTCAATGTATATCTATTTTTTTTCTTTTTTGATTGTGCTTTTCATCAAAGAATTATTGCCTAATCCAGAGTTAGGCCAGGCTGCAGGCATTCTGGAGTGAGGACCAGGGCCAGGCCGTGCGTTGTGGCAGTGGGCACATGGCACAGGGTGCCCAGCAGGCTGTTTGTGTGCTTGGAGCTCCAAGTCCAGCGCAGGTCCCTCCTGAGCTCCAGAAGCAAGGCCCTTCCCCGCCGGGCTCCTCCCTCAGTCCTCTTCTCAGCCTCTGCTCTTCTCCTCCCTGCCTCCCTGCCCCCCTGCCCCAAGGGGCTCTGTGAGGACCCAGAGGAGCAGAACTCCCCACAATCAGTCCTTGTGGGAGGGGCATGGGCTCAGGTGTCCCCCTACCTCACTCTGGCCTGAATCCAGAGTTCAGGGCAGACTCTCTCATCCTCCACTCCTCCATTTCCTGCTTCCAACCAGATTTCCCCATCCCGAGCAGAGCAGTGAGCAAATGAACGTCAGGATGGACCGGGCACTGCTGGGGCGGTTTGTTCCAGAGCAGTAACTAACTGCAGCAGGTCGCTGCTGCTTCCTGCCCAGAGTGCCTGTATGTGTTTGCACGTATGTGCATGTGTCAGGGGCAGTGCTTCAGCCTGAGGTCTCTAGACTATTTGAGATCTTAGGGCCCTGTCTCCAGATGGGCCGCTCAGCTTTGACATCTATTTCTGCTGAACTCCTCGTTGGAACCCTGCTTCTCCCGCTACCTTAGCCCCGGTCAGGGCCCTTTAGAACAGGCCCCACCTGCACTCGATGTAATTGGTGTGCCATTTGCATTTCTCTGCAAGAGTCCTATTAGGTGGTCTCTACGTGTTTACCTGGTGTCTCTGTGGGGGAGGAATTAGCATCTTGGGCTGTTGGACAGGGGCGCCAGAGATGACCTGGTCCGTTCTCTCACATTTGCAGGGTCTGCTTGAACGAATGAATGAATGAATGAATGAATGACAAACCCACCACCTTCCCAGGCAGCTCTTGGATGGCTGGGGTGCTGAAGAGTCCCTGTGCTTGCCAAGTTTTGTATAGAAAAAGGTGAAGTGGTCTGTCCACATTTAGTTTGGGTTTAGTTCTTTGCTCTGGGAAAGTCAGGGCAAGTCAATCCCTCCCCCTTCCCCAGCAGGACAGGCACTCTGGTGGCCTTAGGCATCCACAGCCGCTGACATTGATTCCTAGCCTGACCTCTGCCCCAACCGCCCCAGCAGGCCGCTTCTGGAAACGCCAGGCCAGCGGCTTCCAGCGTTCTTTCAGGAGCAGAGCGAGCCGTTTGTAAATGAAATCTCATGTCGAGCCCGGCGTGTAAGGCAGGTGGGAGTGGGTCTGCTCTGGAGGAGGGCGGGCAGGGAGGGTAGCAGCCCCCGGAGAAGTTCCCCTCCCCCCCCCTGGCCACGGCCAGGTCGCCCAGCTTGCAAACCACTGTCCTGGTGTGTTCCTCTCGAAAGGTCCTCTGGGTAGGGGACCTGCCCTGCAGCCCGGCAGAGCCTCCCAGCAGGGAGCCCTGGCTTCCCATTTCGGCCGCAGAGGGGACATGGACAGGCTAGGCCGTTGCATTACCACACCGCCTCTCAGGAGGCGCGAGGCCCGCCGAGACCTCCAGGTCTCCTGGCCTGGCCGCAGCCTCGGCAGCTCCGACACCTGGCGTCCGGAGCCCGGACAGAGGGGGGGACAGGGAGGACTGGAGAGGCTGGCCAGGGCTCTGACTGTGCACTGGAAAGAGTCTCTCCTCAGAGCCCCTATTCCCTTAACTGGCACCGGGGACCCCGGAAGCCTCCCTCCCACGCCCGGGGCCTGCACGTGGTACGGCGCCGTCTGCTGTCCTCAGCCCGGGCTCTGAGCCTGAGCGCGTCCGGCCTGGCCTCTCTCTCACCCACTCCTCCGGGACCCGGCCCAGCCATCGACACACGCGAGGTCTACTTTGGCAACAGGACTTTTATTCGGTCAAAATGAGCAGAGTGTGACAAAAGCCAGGCCCCGTCAGGCCGGGTGGCCCCATCCGCATCCTCCCCTCGACCCACCCCTCCCACCGGAGAGGGGCTGTGGGTGGAGGGCATGCGGAGAAGCCACGGCGGGGACCAGGGTCCTGCCTGGGAGCGTGGAGACGCCCTCAGCACGGCCGGCATTTGGGAGAAGGGGCGGACGGGCCGCCCTTCCAAGTCCACTCGGATACGACTCCCGTCTTCCAGGGAAACGCCACGAAGTCTACCTGCTTCAGCTAATTAGCGTTCAGGGCGAGGGGCCCTCGAGGCCTGGGGGTCAGGGACTTTACAGTCTAACCTCACACGTAAGGGGATACACTTATCTTTTCTTCCTTTAAAAAAAAAGCTTCTCTCTGCTATTTAAAAAAATGTTTCTGAGTGTAATAAAAAATAGGTATTTGTCTCCTTGGTTTTCTTTTTCCTTCTTTAACTAAGTGTTTCCAAGAACAACGCAACAGGAAAGGGAAACAAGCAATCACAACATAAAAACCCTTGAACACACCTTGTATAAAAATAGCTTCCGGCCACATTTGCTGACAGCGGTCTTTCCACTGTCCAGGGGCAGGTCAGGCTGGCTGTGTCCCATGGGACAGAGGACCTCTCCCCACACACACTCACACGGGCACACACACACTCACACGGGCACACACACACACACACACACCATCACGCACACAGTACATTCCAGGGCCAGCCTCCTCCAGGGCTCCGTGTCTGGGCGGGACAGGAGGCAGGCTTCAGAGTGACGTCCACCCTCCCGAGGCCCAGGAGAGAGAGAGGGTTGTGGGGATCCCAGGCCAGGATGAGTTGGCTGAGAGGGTCAAAATGGGAGTGGATAGAGCAGATGAGACAGAAGAGCACGGGCTGCGGCTGCGTGCTGGGAGGTGTCTTAGTTTAGAGCAACAATTTACATTTTAAGGAACAAATTTTCCTCTCTTTTTTGGC